TTTAGGTCAGAGGAAGGACGTAAAAAAATGCACGTAGAAAAATAGGAACCATCTTTGGTGGGAAGGGAACAGCGTTTTGTGCGCCTTCATCATTGAGTCATGCTAGCCACATGACCACGGAGACGTGATTTCTGGTTTGGAAGGAAATATAAATGGGGAGGCACGTGATACAAGTATTCCTCAACTTACAACCATTTGTTTAGTGTTGATTGAAGTTTCAACAGCAGTGAAAAAAGTGACTTATGTCTGGTCCTCAAACTTATGACCATTGAAGCATTCCCCGCAGTTCCATGATCAAAATTCAGATTCTTGGCAAATGACTCACATTTATGACGATTGCAGTGCCCCAGGTTCACGCAATCCCCTTTTGCCAACAAAGTTGATGGGGAAGTCAGATTCACTTAACAACGATGTTACAGCGGTGTTTGATTTAACAACTGTGGAAAGGAATGTTGTAGAATGGGGAAACTTAACAAATATCTCACTTAGCAACAGAAATTTTGGGCTCGTATGTAACTTGAGGACTATCTGTATGTAGATTTTTTAAAATTTCTTTTGAATCTTAACAGTAACTTTATTTGTATTACAAATACAAATTGTATTAGAGGGGAAAATATATATCTGTTTCTCCATGCCAGAAATAATTCTACCAACTTTAATTACCTCTCCTTTTTTTCCTCCTTCCTCTGACCTAAATCTTCCGGATGTAGAATTGCTCTGGGCTCCTAAATTATTTTGATTTCTCCTTAGGATTGTTCTCTCCTCATTTTTCCACCTCAGCAAATTTCCTTCCTTTTGAGTTGCAGTAAATGAAACATGACACAACATAGATTGTCTGGCTGCATTGCAGAGGACTATAGAAGCAAAATATAGGGCAGTGTTTTTCCACCTGGGCAAACCTAGAATGGGTGGGCTTCAACTGCCATAATTCCTTTGTCAGCATGCTTTAAAATGGATAGGCTTCAACTCCCAGAATCCCCCCGCCAGCATGCTTTAAGATGGAGGGCATTCAACTCCCAGAATTCCCCAGTAAGATGGAGGGATTTGAACTCCCAGAATTCCCCAGTCAACATGCTTTAAGATGGAGGGAT